CCAATAAGATCTATGGTACTGAAAGGCTATGATACCATGCCTTTTCCTTCCCAATCATGCCTTCTGTACTGAGCTATAAAGTGACAACATGGAAACCTTTTCTATGGCGCACAGGATTTAGGCATGCCTGTTATTCTTCTGCAAACATGATGTTTTCTACTATAATTCAAATACCCTTTATACATCTTTTTTAATGTTAAGTTATTCAAATTATGATATAGAAACCGAAACAGGTGCTAGGCATTTTCCATTTAGGTAAGAGAGAATCCAATCCCAAATAATTTAATCTAATGCATTCATCATGCAAACAGTTACAAACATGCTAAAGAACAGATTGTCCCTATTTGCATAATGAAGGCCTATACAGACAGCATATGAATGTAAAGGGTAAAGGGGATAGGAAACACCTTTCACTAGATCTCAATATTTTATATTTTCCTTACTGTTACCTATTCTATTTTGTCCTGTAGTTGAATTTGTACCAACCTGCATTCTGTTTGCCAGTCGAGATGCTTACTCAAGTTACATTTTTTAAATTATTTCTTCAAAATAATTCTTAATTTATTATATTGTGTTTTCAGTTATCAAAATGATTCTACAAGAGTTGGATTTATTTTAATGATCAAACCCTTCTGCCATTTAAATCTGTGTTACTTTGTTCTACTCAGACCAGGTGGCACTGAAAAAGAGCTGAGTTTTCCTTGAACAGATATTTTTATGATGTACAGAATAATATCCAAGCCAATGTGTTCAAAGGTCTATCAACCATTCTGCCAACTAGGTTGGCACCTTCATGACCATATATGGAATTAAATCCTCAGTTATCATACAGGCTATAAGGTGCAGTTAAAGCACCAGAGCAAACAACCAATAAGTTATAAGGACAGCCTTAGTATCAATAAAAATTAACTTATTGCAATGCATGACTATTCATTCCACCATCCTGACTGACATTTTGAACAATGACATCCAAGTTACTCTGACTTTAAAGCGAAGTGAAAATTTTCTGGTAAAGGCAGCAGTGATAGTACAGCAACTGTCTTGGTGTGGTTGGTCCTCTTCATATAGCTCCAGAATGCCCACTATTCAGGACCACCTTTGTCAGCACTGAACCCATATTAACAAAACTGAGAAAATGATTCTGGTGTGGATCAACACTCCAAGTTTCTCTCATAACCAGCTCACAACCAAATGACTAGACTAGAGTAGACCCCAGCTGTCGCTCTTTTGCTCCAAGTCAAAATTAACTTAATTAAAATGTCACCCAGTTCACTCTAAGATACTGTTAAGCATACAGCAGGAAGGGCAATAGGACAGCATGGGATAGAAGAAGACAGAGGATCAAGGGATCAGCTCTTTGGCCCTTATGCAAATGAGAAATGAGGGGGAAGAGAACAGTTCTTAGTGTATACAACTTGTTGATTCTGGCAGGAAGCTTTACATTTGTGCATACACTGATTCTCAAATCTCACACAGTTTTTGCTACCTGCACAAATCCACACTGACACTGGATGAGGGTTGTGCACATATGGGAGGTACAGAATAATAAGGATAACACTCACTACACAGATATGAATGGATATATTTTCACTAGGAGAAGAAAAATTTGAACTGTGTGTTCAGCCACAATGCACTTCCTCCTTTTGTGCATCCATTTGGGTCAAAGTTCCTCAGACAGAAAGAAAGAACATGGGGCACAAAAGTGTGAGACAATGGAATGAAGAAGGAACAAGACAAGGTGAAAAATAGGACAAAGTAGGAAAAGGAGAAATTATATGGAAAGACAAGGAGAAGGACCTGGGAAAAGGGAAACAGGAGAGCAGGAAGCAATGTGGCAAAGGAAAATGGAAGAAATTATCCTCGACCAAAATAAATTATTATCCTGCTCATTGTCTGTTTGCTCTTGGTTATTCTTAAAAGTTTTTTTTTTGTTGGAAGTCAGAATGTATACTTCTTTCCCTGAAGAGCTCCCTCTACTGGATACTGAAGGAGGAAAGGGGCTCATGGGGAACCTCTAGAATTTTTCTCTACTTCAGGTACCACACTGGAATTTGAGTACCAGCTTAAGCAAGATCTCATGCCATTAGTAGCCTTTAGAGATTTTTTAACAGAAGGGCAAAGTAAGCACAAACATATTTACCAATAGGGCTTGAAAAAGGTGGTAATGAGGCTTTTGATCATTAGAAGGTTAAGAGCTAGCTTGGGTTCCTGTACAGCACTGCATTATGCCATACAGACTAGGTGTCCGAATTGTATTCCATGTATAGTGTACTCGGAGAAGAGAATCATATGACCCAATACATTTGTGCCATTCTCCCATTTTGGTTTACAATTAGAATAGCAATAAAAAACCCCAGTACTGTGCCAAACTCCTGGAATCTCCAGATAGCTTAAAGTTTCTCCTAAAGTTACCATCAACTATTACATTGTTAAAAATACTGACAAATAAAACTGTCCGTCTGTCACAGGTATAGCACAATAGTACAATTCATAAGTGATTACTTCTGCTTTCTGCAGACTTACCAAGACAGTTTGTATTCTTTACAAATATAAAGGCTAGAAAGCTGTTGGACTTTTAATTAAATAAAGTTTAAATTCTGCAGCACTATGTGCATGAAGGATCTGCCACTGTAATTCCAGACGTGTTCATTCTGACTTCTGGTCTTCCTATGCCATAAAGTGCCATTGGTCAGGCTGCAGTTGGAGTACTGTGTCCAGTTTTGGGTGCCACACTTCAAGAGGGATGTGGATAACCTCGAGAGGGGTCAGAGGAGGGCCACTCACATGGTTAGGGGCCTGCAGGCAAAGCCCTACGAGGAGAAATTGGGGGCCCTGGGTCTTCAACCTCAACAACAGAAGGCTGAGAGGTGATCTTGTGGCCACCTACAAATTCATCCGGGGGGGGGGGGGGGGACAGCAGGGAATAGGAGATGCTCTGGTTACCAGAGCACCCCTTGAGCTAACTAGGAACAACGGCCACAAATTGACGGAGAGCAGATTTAGGTTAGACATCAGGAAGAACTTCTTTACGGTAAGGGTTGGCAAAAACTGGAATGGCTTTCAAGGGAGGTAGTGCTCTCCCTTACCTTAGGGGTCTTTAAGAGGAGGCTAGACATACACCTGGCTGGGGTCATCTGACTCCAGTGCTCTTTTCTGCCCAGGGCAGGGGGTCGGACTCAATGATCTGCTAAGGTCCTTTCCGACCCAAACATCTATGACTATAAATCTATGCAACACAGACACCATGAAGCCTGCGTCTCCTGTTTGCTGACTGGGAGCGGCTCTCAAGAGTTAACATCTAATATGTTCAATAAGTAGCAAAAAGGGAAGAGAAACAAATGAAGATTAATCCTAATTAGGTGTTTCAAAATCTTTTGAAATGTCCCAGTTCCTTATCATGGTATCACTAGGGCTTTGAAAATACTCGACAAACAGAGAGTTAAATTCAGATGTATGAATATAGGCATGCATGTAACTGAGTGCAACCATTTCTGAATAAAAAAAAAAGAACTGGTAACCATCACTAACAATTCAATAACTGGAACACAGGCATGCTCGCTCAATTTCCTCATCTGTTTTACATGCAAAATTCAAAGCATCATAGCTGTGGAAACAGGCACCAGAAACAGAAGCCACAGAGAGGATTTTATTTCAGTGTGTGCTTCTCTGCAATACTGTCAACAATGCCGGCAAGACTTCATAAAACAAACACAATCAACTGCCCTCCTCAATAAAGAAAGCCCAAGTCAGGTCACTTCCCTTTAGACAGTAACATCCAGGAGAATATGTAGACATCAGTAGACACATACAAATAAATAGCTTTCTGTGTATTTCCTGAAGTCTGGAAAAACTGTTTACATACGGAAAGGCAAGAGGTGCAAGAGCTTCACAGTCTCAGTCATGTCCTACTGCCTTTCATAAAAAGTGTCTTTAATTTTCCCCCTGGCATGAGGGAGGAGGTTGTCGGGGGAAGATGTCTGACAGGACCGTTGGGCCAGTGCTTTTCCAGCACTTTATCCCCTCTCCCGCCTTACCTAGTACAGCTTGTCTTCCGAAGAATGAACTGCACTTTTTAAAAGCGGCCTCTAGTTTTCGCACATACTACATTAAAAGAGCCTCCCGGGAAGAGCAGCGCCCCCCTGGGCACAGAGAAGAGGCTGGAGAAGTTGATCCGTGCCACAAGATCCTGCCCCCGCCACGGGAACCCCCGCGGACGCATCTCATCAGGCAAGGGAAGGGGCGACAAGCGCAGCCCGCTGCCCAGCCTCTGCCCGTCCCTCCCTTTGCCCGCAGCTGCTCCGGCCCCGGCCCCGTCCGCGGAGCCTCTTCGGCGACGGCTGCACCAAGAGTTGCCGGGATCCAGCAGACACCTGCTGTGGGCGCCGCCGCATCCCCCGGACAGGCAGGCGCCC